AAATAAATTAAAAATAAAAAAATAAAAAAATAAAGATAAATGAACAAAACAAACAACAACAACAACAACAGCAACAACAACAACAACAACAACAACAACAACAACAACAACAATAACAACAATAACAACAACAAACATTGTATGTTAACACCTTGGTACTAGGCAGATCAGCATTCAGACTAATCAACATTATCAACATCATCCTGATCTCCACTCCGACGACTTTTAAAAAATCCTCATTCATGCACATTTGTGTCTAGCCTGTGTCACTTCGATTTGAAATAAAGAATAACATTTTTTTTTAACAACGTAAAAGGTTAAAATGAGCACTTTTCTTGCATCAATTACCAATAAATGTCGCTCCTCCCGACATTTTCTTTAAAAAAAGGTTTATGTGTTTGGGGGGGGGGTATCTAGTAACGTGAATATATTACAATAACCCTTTGTGACATCGCCATTGTTCGGATAATAAGTCTATTGCTTTACGCCACCACTGGCACAATTTATGTTATTTAGGAGACGGGCTCGTCAGGGCCAACCAGGGCTGAGTGGGATACAACACCACAGCAGAAAGACCGAGTTTAATTCCATAGTGAAATAGTATGTTTATCGAGTTTCTCGGTCGTTCTACCGGAATGTAACCATTTCAACCCGCGTAGGCCCTGACAGGTAGGGTCGGAATCCCGCCTTCACAGTGATCAAAACTGTGAATGGCGGTGCAAAAAGACATACTTTTAATCAAGAATTAACCTTTTCATGATTTCCCCCTCTTCTTTTTCAACTCCAGTTCAGCCGGTTCCATAGTTTCATTTGTTTAAAGATATGCTTACCCTGGACTCCTTTATCGCTATATTTTGTTATGATGTATGAAGAATGGAAATATGCTCACTATTTTCCACATCTTGCATAGAGAGAGAGACTACTAAAACTAAGAATATTGATACATAAAGGGGGTACGGGCTGTAGGTGGCCGATAGAGTAGAATGGGGTATCTCCACTAATTGTAGAAAGAGAAGTCACCCGTTTGTGTTCATTGTACTCAATGCAGATTCAAGTGTTTCAGAAACTGCACCTGTCTCTTTTACTAGTAAACGGCCCAAGTGGCCTTCTTTAAGTACACCCTCATTTGGTTTATTTTCCTTTGAAAAATTCTTAACAGTCAAAGTTTAAAAAACCCAAGGTGAGAATAGTAGGACATGAACGATTTAAAAAATGTTAATAGCTTTGTGCATATTATGGTTAACTCGTGGAATTTGTTTATTTTGAGGCATTGATTATGAATATTATAGCATTCGATTTTTCATCATAACTTAAACTTGGACTTTCTTTTTCGCTCTGGCTAGTCCTTTGACTGTTAACACATGACCAAACTTAAATGCCGCAAGCGACATTACAACGGACCTGACTTTCGCCGGGAGGAGTGGAGTGGAATCGTTTTCGTTGACACAGAAAGTCGAAATTCTCAATGATTGCTAAGCAGGTAAAAACTGATGCTCTTTCTCAAACTACTCATTTCCAGAGAGACGGACGACCTATGGTGTTTTGACTTCTGGTTTGGATGACACGCTGGGGCATTCTTGACGTAGCGGAATATATGGCGCCCTAGACTAACCTTAGACCTAAAACAAAACTACGAGGATATATGGCGCTCTGGACTAGAGCTAAAACAAAGTAACGAGTTTGATTCCCGGCTCCACCCGACACAGGACACCTCATACCTGAAAAGGTACTCACCCAGTCTGCGTCAGTTCACCGGCTGTAAAGGAATACTTAGTGATCGGAAGACCCCGTTTATATAATAATGAGAACAAAAATGGTATGATAATCGCCTTAAAAGAAATAATTATAGCGGGTTCCACGTGAAATCGAATGTCTATTTTCGAATGAAAGTGCGGCCCGAGAGAAGGGAGGCATGTATTGTGTGTCTCAGTAACCTTCAGGGGGAATACCGGATTATACAGAAGCATACCAATAACTCTTTTCTTTTGAACAGTGAGAATGTAAGCGTTGCATAAGTTTTCGGTCTGGATTTTCGTACTTTTGCATTAAAAAAAAAAACCTACAGATAATAGGCTTATCCTTCTTTTCTGCATTATGGGCATACAAAGAACTTGTCAACGGAGAAAGAAGATTATTTACCAAACCAAATCACAGCCTGACATTTTCTCTTGAATAAACCTCTTTACTAAAATGACTCCACGTTTTTTCGCCAAGTCATCCTAGGCCTACCAAATTGAAAAAAAAAGAACAATAAGTGGGTACTCTTACTACTGAAAACAAAGTTAATCTAGATTATAGAAAACGCGCAATATTATGAGAAATCCGAGTGGCTCACCGAGCAGCACTGAATACATTAAATTTGTGCACGGTGCATTTTCTTTTCCACGATTCAGAAGTAAAAAATTGGGATAATTGTGATCGTTTTCTTTACAATTAGTCATTAACAGGGCTTCGGAAAGTATGCATTATTCTCCATCTGAGCCAGTTTTACTGTATCTACTTTGTGACCACGTCCTCAAAACTGTCGGCCAGCTGTTCTGATGTACTAGGCCCTACATTTCGTCACTGCAAGTTTCCCAACAACAAACTCGGTCTCTGTAAATTTTATAGAAAATTGGGAGGGGGAGGGGGAGACAGGAAAAGCTTGTCTACTATTATAGATCGACACGTTTTGGACCTAAATTGGTAGAATTATTGCTCCAAATGTTTCTCGGTACATATCTAGCTTACTTTAACTAATTGTTATGATTAATGAAATGAATAATAGAGTGAATCGTTTAGACACTAACATCCTGATGCTATTTGTGGCTTACTCTAGTACACTAAGTTAAAGGGATAGTGTACCGTATCAATGCCAAACAGCCACCCACATTTTAACGCTGTATATGACATGACTATATTGGAGTGAGCTGGATAAGTATATGCTGTAAAGCCACAATTAATGGTGGTTAATTGACTTTGCTGACCATCGTTTTATCTTTCCTATAAAGCTTATTTAATAGATATTAAAAGTGAGGCATTGTGTCGAAACCAGGCGCTCTTCAAAATAATGAAATCGAAGAAACGCATTGTCCCTCCAGTTTGGTCTTTAGTATTGACTTCTTGTTTTTGTTCATATGTAACCACATTTCCATGTGGATTTTACCAAAAGGCGTTAAGTAATGGTATAAAATATGAAAATGCCCAGTTTTGACAGACTCTCAAGCAATAAAAATGACTAAACTCTGGTGGCCATTTTCTGGCTAATTTCACCTCAGAAACCAGGCTACCCCTACCTCTTTCAAACGCAAGTATCTCGACTTCTATGGTAGGCAGATGGGTATTTTTTAATTAAAGAACGAGTCAAATGAACCGGCTTTAAGGTTACACTAACAACTCCATGCCCAAAAGTTGACAAGCGCCTGATTCCACAACGTTGGGACACAATGTGCACTGGGCTTTTACTAACTGATCAGAATGCGTCCACAGCTTAATATTATGTGCATCTACGAGTATGTATTATGCGTTTTTGTGCATTTTAAAGGGTGCATGCATTTACATCTAATCTACACCCAAATAAACATACGCGTGCAAGAGTGCACATTCACACACACACACACACACACACACACACACACACACACACACACACACACATACACACATATATACACAAAAGTACACAAACACGGACATATACAAAAACATACACACACACATACACACACACACACACTCAAACACAGTGTACGTGTGTTGTGCGTGTTTGTGTGTATTGTGTGTGTGTTTGTAAGGTTGTGTCGTGCGCACACACTAGCGTGTGTGTATGTGAATGTGTTTGTGTTTGTGTTTGTGTGTGTGTTTGTGTGTGTGTGTGTGTGTGTGTGTGTGTGTGTGTGTGTGTGTGTGTGTGT